GTCCTAGTTTAAGTGTCTAAGTGAAAGATCGTGCCAACTTTAGGTGTCTCCGTATGTATTACGCCTTTTCAAAAAGAATTAGAGTATTTACCACTCTTATCTCTAACATCTTTAATTCACTAATAAATGTTGGCTCTTTACAAATTTGTTTTTAGTTTTTTGACGCTATCTCTATTTTTACATAGGAGATTTATTTTTACACGTAAGAGATCTCTCTTTTACATTTAAGAAATCTAAAAAGGTCATTTTCTTAAATTCCAAATTGTAAAGGGGCATAGTGTACAAATAGCACAATATAAATGTGTTTCTCCCATTTGTTTCATTTTATTTCCTTTTTTTGGTTAGTTTCACGTCCTATATACCTGGTAGGGTTGTTAAAGATGATTAGCAATAGTTACAAGCTTTAAATTTAAATACAAATTTCCAGCAAATCTATAGCCAATAGGTGTGTTTTAATCTGGCAGCTACTTCTTTTTAGTTAGGTCGAATAGTCAAAAGACACTAATAGTCTGCACATGGTTGTGTTTCGAAGTCCAGTGGCATATACAGAATTTTTCGTAAGCGGTATTATAATTTGAAGAAATGAATAACTAAATAATTTATTATAGTTGTAGCGGTATTATTTTCTATATTTATCTCTAACATTTTTATTTTTCTTATACATAAATAGAAAAAAATTGACAAACCGGTGTCCCGTAATACCGCATAGGATAAGGTGTATACGCCCCTGTTCCGAACCACTCAACTTAAAGAAATTTTATATCGATTAATACGTAATTAATCGAACACTACTTGAAAACCGCTCTTATGCTCCGAAACAGAGTGTTCCAAATGTTACTAGAAATTTTTGCTTCCATTGGACCATTTGTATCTTTATCCATTAGGATTTCAATTCATGGATCTCTGTCACGATCCGGATTTTTCACCCTCGGGAGTCGTGATGGCACCTACTCATGAAAGCTAGGCAAGCCGAGTATTATAGATTCATTAACCTTTTTTCTTAGCCTTTTTAAAAGTTCAATATAACAGGTGATCAACAGCGGAATAATTAAAATAAATAGAAATGCGGAAGACGAAAACTAATAGTTTAGCCATATACTAGTGTAGAATCCAACATACAACTCTACCAAGAATTTGGTGTCACAATGTCACGGACTATCTACGAATACTACAAACAGTGGTCTGAAAGATAAAGACAAAGCTGTCTCTGAAATACATAAAAGAAACAGAATGAAAAGATAGAAGGAGACGCCAAGGCCTGCGGACGCCTGCAGGACTTACCTCGGGTCTCTGCCACTGGACTGAAGGCAGCAACCTCACTATAGTCCAAAAGTTGCAGCACCGGGATCTGCACACAGTGCAGAGTGTAGTATCAGCACAACCGACCCCATGTGTTGGTAAGTGCCTAGCCTAACCTCGGCAAAGTAGTGACGAGGCTAGGACAAGACTACCAAATAAGCCTGTGCAGTTATATCATATACAGCAAGTAATAATGACAGAAACTAGCAGTTAAAGATGGCAAGGGGAAACATGCTTGGGGAAATATCATGTACAAACCGAAATTCAGTAAAGAAACATACGGAACACCAAAATTCAACTATAAGCAAGAATAACGAAAACAAAGATAAATGCATGGCATCACCCTTCGTGCTTTTACTCTCGTCCTCACCATAAGAATCAATATAATCGGCACGACATCACCCTTCGTGCTTTTACCTCACATAATCATGGCACGGCATTATCCTTCGTGCATTATCACTCATATCATGGCACGGCATCACCCTTCGTGCTTTTACATTTACAATATCGGCACGGCATCACCCATCGTGCATTAACACTCACTCACCAATATCATGCACGGTATCACCCTTCGTGCTTTTACACTCTTCCTCACCCAAGCAACAATCACAAAGCAATACGGGCAAGGGAATCACTAAATCACAATAGAATCCCGGCAAGAGAACAATAGTATATCAATAATATCCCGGCAAGGGAAAAAATATCATGAGTAATAATATCCCGGCAAGGGAGATAATATCAAAAGCAATAACATCCCAGCAAGGGAGACAATATCAAAAGCAATAACATCCCGGCAAGGGAGACAATATCATAAACCTCTTTTCCTTTCCACAAATTACTTCACAACTCAATTCTCAACTTGAGCCAATGCTCTACAATGTTCAATTACCAAGAATACTTCCATAAGCCTTGCTCAACATTAGAAATCATCATATTAAGCATGGACAATACAAAACGGAATCACATCAATCATAGTATAAGACTCACAGGCATGCTTAACACCAACGTATAGATACTCGTCACCACACCTATATGTCGTACTCAACAATTGACACATAGCAAATAAGACACAACTCATAATCCCTCAAGCTAAGGTTAGACCAAACACTTACCTCAATGCCACGAACACAATTCAAGCCTCAACTACCGCTTTACCTCTTGATTCCACCACTGATTCGCTTGTATCTAGCCACAATTTACTTAACGATATCAATAAATGCTAAATGAGTCAATTCTAATGAAAATCCTAAGTTCTACCCAATTCCCCCATGAAAACCCTTGATTTTGAGTTGAAATCATGTAAAAAGATGTTATAGATTGGAGAAAATGAGTTAGAAACGACTTACAATTGATTTGGAGAAGACCTTTTCTTTAGAAAATCGCCCAAGAGAGCTTAGGGTTTGAGAGAGTTTGAAAAATGAAGAAAAATCCGTCTAAGCCCCAATTAACTGGTCGCAGATGTCGCAATTGCGACAGGAGCATTTGCGAAGCTTGCAAATGCGAACAAGGCCTCGCATTTGCGAACCTGGGCATTGTCTGCTAACCTCGCAATTGCGAACAAGTTGTCGCAATTGCGATACTGGCCCTCCCATGATGACTTCGCATTTGCGAAGGAAGACTCGCAATTGCGAATACTGGCAGGCCTGGGCTTTCTTCGCAAATGTGATCAAGCCCTCGCAATTGCCAAGCCTGTTGGGCTCGCAATTGCGAGATCAGAGCCTGCAACACAGCTGAACCTGCAACAGTCATTCCTCGAAGTCCAATTTCACTCCGTGGCCTATCCAAAACTCACCCGAGCTCTCGGGGCTCCAAACTAAACATGTAAGCAAATCTAAAAATATCATACGGACTTGCTCGTGCGATCAAATCATCAAAATAACATCAACAACTATGAATAAATCCTCAAATTCATGAAATCACTCAAGAACATCAAAATTACTATTTTCTCAACTATAGGTCCGTTTTATACCAAATCAATTCTGATCTTTACCACATTTTACAGATTCAACTTAATTATTATTTTAAACTTGTATCGGGCTCCGGAACCAAGATACGGGCCTGATACCATTAAGAAAATGCATCAATTCACTTCTAAAAACCTTTATATTTTCCAGCAAACAATTTTCTTTAAAAACTCATTTCTCGGGCTTGGGACCTCGGAATTTGATTCCCGGCATGCGCCCAAGTCCCATATTTTACTATGGAGCCTACGAGACCGTTGGAACACGGGTCCGGGTCTGCTTACCAAGAATGTTGACCAAAGTCAACTTTAATCAATTTAAAAGCCAATTTCCTTATTTTACTTAGATTTCACATAAAAGCTTTCCGGAAACGCGCCCGGACTGCGCACGCAAATCGAGGTGAGACAAAAAAGAGTTTTTTAAAGCCTCGAAAAATAGAATTTACTTTCAAAACGAGTGATGACCCAGGTCATCACAATCTCTCGGTTCGAGAATCACAATAAGAGGATCGAATTATTTTTTGTAACGTTTTTTTCAAATTCGATAAATATTGATCGATCGAATATTCCATTATGGTATTCAAACATTTGAACCTATTCAAAATTAGTGTTTAACGCTTGAAGCTCAAATACAGTCATTGGGATTGACAAATCAGCATCCACGTCAGAATTTTAGTGACACATCATTAGTCGATATCTATTTGGCTATTCAACCTTTCGGTTACGTAGCCATCGCTAAAATAAGTAAACTGTTGTTAAGTTATACCCAACATTTAAAATATGTCAGGTTTGTGAATTAATGAAATTCATTTATATTTTAGCGAATTAATGCTGACTTTGATTTCGTAAATATTTCATTGACTTTTTGAAACACATTCGTGATGAACATGACTTAAGTTTTCTAAAATTCCACCGACTTAAACAACATGACATAGGTGCTCCTCGAATAACTTCTAGAAATAATATATATTGTGTTTTTTTTTTTCCTTTCATTTCGAAATTTCTCCTATTGTTTTATTGAATTAATTTACTAGAAACTGCAAAAATGGTTGAAATGGTACATTTTTCTTGTTCTTTCAATCGATCTATCTATACAAATTTTCCTTGTTTCCTTAGTAAAATGGTTGTAATAAAACTGTCCCTTTGTAATACGCCATCACATATGAAATATCTGAATTACTGTTCTTGCTTTATTTTCCTTAAGAATTTAACAATTTCTAGCACTTGATTCTCATTCCATCACTTAATTAGTCATTTCTATGGAGTACTGAAGCCACAAAAATCACATCAAACAAACTTCAATCCAACATCTGTTTGATGTTTGAAATATTGAAATTAAAAAAAAATTAAATATATACATATATATATAAAATAATAAAAAAATATCGAAGAACAAGAAGATCAACCAAACGGGTACACGTAATAGAATGGTAAAGGTTCTTCTAGTCCTAACCAGAGGTTTTAAGTTCGAGACTTAAAAGAGAAGTCTTCCTTGGTAAGGAGCGCTAAACCCCCCATAGTAACTTTCTACGAAGCTAATTCAAATTCATCGAACCAGTGAGTTCCTGATATCAGATGATTAACTCAAAAATAAAAGAACTAGAACATCAGTCGCGAAAACACCCTTTAATAAGGGGCATCATCCGACACCATTGACGGATGTATGTGCCTGTATAATATATATATATATATATATATATATATATATGAAGAAAACTAATAATTATATATACAACAAATAACTCCGCCTGAAAATAATATCAAGTAAATATCAATTTTGAGATATGAAGTAATGACTTAAGACCACTATATAGTCTCAGACTCAAACTCACTTACAAGTCAAATTTATGACAATAAACTGACATTGTTTTAACGCAAAATTTTACATAAGCCAACTATATAAAGATGCTATGGTAATCTTTCATTTTGAGTTCTTGAATTTGAACCCCATTCTATGGCTTCTGCAACTGCTCTTTGGCGTTCTTTTGCAGATGTTTTAATTTCTTCATTATCAGCTGAAACTTGATCAGGTAATGGATCAGGAGATATTGACGAAACGAATCCGTTATCGGATGACTCAGCCCAAAGGAAACTGAGAGCAGTGACAACATCATTGATCAGTGGACGTACTGCTGGATCTTCTTGTAGGCACATTGCAGCAATAGCAACTGCTTGATTAAAACTTCTTTTTGGGAAGTCTCCTTTTAGAAGTGGATCTGCTAGCTCTGTGTATCTACTTGTGTCTTTGAAAATCGGCTCCGCCTGAAAAATTAGAGAGACAGATGTATAATTCATGTATAGTCTATGTATACCGGCTAAAAAAGTAAACATAAATACGACCGGTTGTTTGTGTAAAGATCCCAAAATTAGATGAAACTCACGATGTAGCTAGGATACCATGGGATTATGGTAACAAAATCACTTAAACATAAAATGTAAAAGGATTTAAGTTATATATAATAACAGTACAAGGAAGGGCAAAATAAACAATTGCTCAATCAGCCAAACCTAACTGCATTCGCTAGCGAAAAAGTAATAAAATGTGTATATTATATGTATGATATACACATGTATACAAAAAATATATATTTGTTGGTCATTACTTTTGGGAACGGTTAAAAATATATATTTCTCTATAAAGAATGTATGCACTATTATTGTAATTTAATCGGCCAAAGTAGGTTATTATTCTGTTTTTAGGCTACTAAATATCTGGTTTGCATTAAAGAGTTGCAGTGTTTATTCTTATAGGTCAACTTATAATGTGTAAAAAACTTTTTAGTATTATAACTTTTTAGTATTATATTGTTAGTGCACAAAACATAAACTCTTAAAGATATTTACACACTTAATTATAAGATATTTATAGATAAGTTTTAATCAATAACCAGGTAAAAATATAACTAACCTACTATTAAAGGTTAAATTGCATCATTATTATAAAGAAAATCATTGTACTGTCAGTATATATATAAGTTAAACTCCTTGTGCCAGAAGATCACTTAATCATGAAAATGCTTCTAAAGTTAAAATCTACATGTTGCTTAGACTCTTCATAAATAGTCGCACCCATTATTGGATCCTTAACAAATTATACTCTACTACTTTTGAAGGATCCGATACATATCCAGCGCGAATTTTTAAGAGTCCAAGCAACATAGGTTAAAAAGAGTAGAACGGTACACGAAGCATCTCGTGTTTATGCAGGGCCGGGGGAAAGGCCCCATCCCAAAGGATATAATGTAGACAGCCTACCCTGATTCAAGCATCAGTGGCCAATTCCACAGCTCGAACCCGTGACCTATAGGTCACACGGAGACAACTTTATTGTTACTCCAAGGTCATACGGAGACAACATAGGTTAAAATACAGGAAGAGGGAAATGTTTCACTTACCCAAGCAACTAAAATCTGATCATGCCCATTCTTTGTAGTATCAACAGCTCTTTTTCCTGTAATTAGCTCCAATAAAACAACACCAAAGCTATAGACATCAGATTTGACAGTAAGTTGTCCTGTTCTTTGATATTCTGGAGCACAATAACCATAAGTTCCCATAACTCTGGAAGAAACATGGGAATTATCACCCATTGGTCCAAGTTTGGCTAAACCAAAGTCTGATAATTTTGCATTAAACTCTTTATCCAGCAAGATATTTGAGGACTTCAAATCACGGTAAATAACTGGTGGATTGGCTTTATGATGTAAATATTCAAGACCCTTTGCTGCATTTAATGCTATTTTCATCCTTGTGAACCAATCCAGTGGAGTTCGATCTGGTGGAAGATCTAAAGAAATAATTCCATATTAGTTTAATATTTTTCATGTATTGCAATAACACAAACAACAAATTCAGTGTAATTTCATAAGTGGGGTTTGGGGAGGGTCCTGTGTGTTAGGATCGAAATAATCAGGTGTCATGCGGAAGCTAGTAAAGCAAATCTTGAATTATGATAAATCACACAACAAAAGAGAAATATACCAATAGAGACACAAACATTTAACGTGGTTCGGTCAATTGACTTACGTCCACAGATGGAGATGAGCAACCTACTATATAAATGAGAGTACAAATATCGAGAGAACAACCTCACGAAGAGGCAAACACAAGTGACACACTAACACTTGTCTCGTAAAGTTCTCTCCCTAAACAAGACTCTCAAACCCCATATGGCTACATTGTGGATGCTACTGAATGAGAATGAAGGATCCTTAATTTATAGAAATCCAAACCTTTTCCTACACGAAAAGGGACAAATATGGGAGATTTATAATTTTCTACTAGAAGAAGGAAAACTCAATTATGATAAATGTGTTGTCATTTCCTTCAAGAGATAGGACAAATATGGTAAAAAAATTAGGATAACACCTAGCAACGTGTACGCAAACTTTACCCCTACCTTGTGAAGGTAGAGAGACTGTTTTCGATAGACCCTCGGCTCAAGGAACAGTGGAAAAAAAGCAACAAATAATAGTAACCACAAGGTAATAAGATAACAGGAGCAAATTGCATCAGTAAAAAGAGTTATATATATGACAAATTGGATATTAAGTTCATTATTTTCAATCTTTTCTTTTTGTATGATTGTGGAGGACAAAGAATCGATTTAACTTAGATACACCGGCAATGTAAAGATTATTTATATTATTAGTGTATTGTTACATGTTATAGCATGACAACTGCTTTATTTTTCAGGCTACCGATTCCTTTTTTCATGAAAAGTTACTTGCAGCTATCTTTTAAGTGATCTTATTATAAAAAAATCTTTTGGTGCCGATATGTATAAGTTAACATCTCTTTTACACATTCATAGACCATAGGTAACTTAAAAGATAATTATAATTAACAACTCATAAAAAAGAGATTAAAAACGTGGAAAATAAGGCAAGTAATGCAGCAACAATAACAACAAACCCAGTGTAATCCCATAAGAAAATTAAAAAGGACAGCTCAGTGCACAAAATATTTGGCATTCACGCAGGGTCTGGGAAAGGGTCCCACCCCAAATGTTGTGATGTAGACAGCCTACCCTAATGCAAACAGTAATGATTGCTTCTACGACTCGAACTTGTGACCTATAGGTCAAACGGAGACAATTTTACCGTTCCTCCAAGGTTCCCCTCGTAATGCAAGAAAACTAGGGTAGAAAAATAAGAAGAAAAGAAATTACCAAATAGATGATCCTCTAATGCTCCCAATGGCATATACTCATACACCAGAAGTCTTTGATCTCCATCAGCACAATATCCAATCAAATTTACAAGATTTGTATCGTGCAAAAGACTCAACATCAATACCTCTACAAGGAATTCTCTGTTTCCTTGTAATCCATTACGGTCAAGCTGCTTTACTGCTACAGCCTGAAAGATAAGTCTCAGATTAGAACTTGTTTTAAATCAACGATCGATGCAAAATTGACGACTCAGCTATTCAAGTTAGGTAAAACACATGTCCTCATTTTTTCTTAAGTTATATACGCCGATATTATAAAAAAGTTTATATTGTAAGTGCAAGTTAAATGGTTATAGGAAATCTGACTTCCTTTAATGAGTTATCTGTAATTATAGGTCTATTTAACCTGATAGTATATAAAATTTAGCTGTAATTTTGCCATGTGACCAAGAGGTCACGTGTTCGAGCCGTGGAAACAGCCTCTTGCAGAAATGCAGGGTAAGACTGCGTACGAAGACCCTTGTGGTCTGGCCCATCCCCGGACCCGCGCATAGCGGGAGCTTAGTGCACCGGGCTGCTCTTTTTTTATATATAAAATTTATGCAAACTGTTAGTGTGCAAAACTTAAACTCTTTTTTTTTACTACCTCCGGTTTTGATGCATCTTGTGATTGAGAAATCTCTATTGGCACAAGCTAATTTGAGAATCAAAGCCGATGTTGATATACGAATTATTATAGAGAATTCATAGTTAGAAAAAAAAAACTAGTACAATTTCAGGGTCAAATCATTATAGAGCAATTTAAAGGGCAGCTCAGTGCACGAAACATTCCGCGTTCACTCAGGGTACGGGGAATGGCTGCACCTCAAGGGGTATGATATAGACAGCCTATCCCTGGTGTAAGTATCAGTGGCTGATTCCACGGCTCGAACTAGTGACCTATAGGTCACATGGAGACAACTTTACCGTTACTCCAAGGTTCCTTTCATTATACAGAGCAATTTATAGCAGAGAATTTTTAAAAAATTTGAAGTACCTGGCCAGTTTTGTCAAGGCGGCCCTTATAAACACGTCCAAATCCACCTTCACCTATCAGATATTCTTGGCGGAAATTCTTTGTAGCTGTTGCCAATTCCCTATAAGTGAAAGTTTGAGCTGCAATATTTTTGTTCTCTTCATCGTTCTTAGATGAATTTTGGTGCCTGGTTTCTGCTGGAACATTTCTTATTTTTTCTGAAAATTGGAAAGATATGATTTATTAAGAAATGAAAACATCTCACTAAAATATTTCTATTAGCTGGTGCTATGCGAAAATTGAACATATCAAATTTAAATCTTGAATCAGGTTACCTGGCTGCGATGACTGTGGTCGTTGCGGCGGGTGAGAATGTGGCTTATTATGATGCGTCTTTGCCTTAGACGACCAAGGCTGTGCTTGTTGTGGCGAAAGGTTTTCTCTATGAGGATGAACAGCAGTTGTTGATGTTTCTTTTCTTTTTGTACATTTCCTTTTGGATGTTGTACTCTCATTCGACGAAAAACATGAAAAACAAATCATGTCTTTTTATTCTTTAAATAAAAATCCCAGAATGGCTTCAAATTCTCAACCAAAAAAAATGAACAAAACAAAAAAACAAGCAAATTCTTCAATCTTGAAAAGGTTGCTTGCTATAAAAGTTTCATCTTTATAGCATCGAACCTTAAAAAAAATTATTCAGATTATGTGAAAGAAAAAACACGGGTCTTGTAAATATATGCAGAGACCCAAGAATGCAATTAATGAAGAAACGTATCTATAAATATGTATTTAGCTAATTAAATTTTATTGAATGAATTGATTTTAATTTCTGAATAAGCCATTTTTGTATAGCTGGAGACAGAGAGAGGAAAGTTGATGGGGGCATGTTTTTGTTTTTTTTTATTTTCTTATGATTTTTTCCGTGGAAAATGGGAATATAATGGAAGGGAGGATTTGGAGGAATGTTTGGTAGAGATGTGTGAGAGAGATACGTGAGAAGTGGGAACCAATTTAGTAATACCCTATCCGTTCACATTTACTTGTCATGTTTCGCTTCTCAAAATTCAATTTAATTAATCTTTGAGGCTAAATTACTTGTCATTTTTATATTACGGTGGCACTTACTATTATTGTTATTGCTTGCCCGTCTATTTTCTGTCTCTTATGATGCTGATATTTTTTTTCTGGTTTCTGTTACTGTTACGGATCTATTGTCTATTTTCGTCTTCTTGAGCCGAGGGTCTTTCGAAAACAGCCTCTCTACTCCCCGGGATAGGGGCAAGGTCTGTATACACTCTACCCTCCCCATACCTCACTTGTGGGATTTTACTGGATTGTTGTTGTTGTTGTTGTTGTTTGAAGCTAAATTAAATTAGATTATCTCAATATTTTAAAATTTAAATTTAAATATTCGGAAACTATACGAAACGTGCTATAATTTACAATTCTTCTCATATTAACATGGTGCGAAAATACATGTTAAAATGTTGGTCAAAATTTATTTAATTTAACTCTCTAGAAGCGAAACATGACAGTTCAATGGGAATAAAGGAAGTATTAATTACGTACCTATAAATACATAGACAGTAGCATTCACAAGATTTTGTAGAAATGGCGTCAATTAATCGTGAATTATGAGAATCAGTTAGTAAATGGGATTTGATTTAGGACTGTTGGTTTGAATCTCTACTTATTATCTTAAATTGGTATTTACTTTTATTTTTTGTATGTAGTGTCGTATTGTGTATGAATATATTATATATATTTTTTTTGGAAAAATATTATTTTGTTATACATATATACAAGATTTTTTTGCAAAGTGACACCTTTTACAAAGTAGTGCGTATTCCGTCACACAAAAATTCCAAAAGTAGAGGAAAAAGATATTGAGTTGATACTCACTCAATACTTATCTAATTTTTTTAATAATAGCCTATATAAATCTACTAAATTTGATGAAAAGCGGTGAGTGTTTATGCACCTATAATACTCCATGTAGATCCGTCATTACAATACTTCACCATTCCAAAAGAATGGTAGGTTCAAAGCAAGAGATTTAATTTATCTAAATTTCGTGTAAATTAATTAGAATGAACATACATATCAAGAAACTATACAAAAATAATACTATAAATCAGAATATTCTAATAATGAACAACTCAAAGGAAATTTAAAGACAAATAAATTGCCAATATTGCGTAAACTGGAACATTTAAAAGAACGCTTTAAGTACATAGGCAGAGGTGCTCGGCACATTCTATTACACATGAGTAGCTGTTTCAAAGGAAAAATCTTTAAAAAAAAAATAAGAAGAAATTAACATATATAGAAGGGGCCTTCAACCACAGACAAGATTGTCTGCAAAGTCAAATTTTTTTCTTTTATAGCTTTACATATATGATACATATCATTAGTGGCAAATCCACGATAGAGTCCGTGTTTTTTTTTTTCTGTGTTAATTTTTGTTTTTTACGCGCACATATATAATTCGAATTAAATGTTATCGATTCTAATAGTCTCTCAATACCATAAAGTTCGATCAAACATAAATTAAAAAGTTAAAAAAATAATAATAATAATAATAAGTCTTTTAGGAGAGCAAATAAAGATAAAGAAACAAGAACCCCATGATCAGAGGCGGATCCAGGATTTGAATTTTCTGGATTCAAACTCGAAATTGACCACATCGAGTCTAATTTACTGGGTTCAAAATCTATTTCTGCACTTAATTAGTTAGATTTTAACACATATACAGGGTCTAAGCCGAAGTTACTGGGTTCAGATAAACCCATAACTTCTTCATTGGCTCCGCCCCCTTCCCACGATGTCTCCAAATATCATCCAATTAAAAAATAAAATCAAATGTTATTAAAAAATTTAAGTTTCACTCCTTAATAATGTAAAAATTAAAGAATTAACTGTAATAGATAGTCTACAGATATCTAATATATGTATAATTTATATATAATATGTGAATAATATTGTACGATACACTATAAAGAGTAATGCTTCTATCATCCATGGCACCCAAAATTTAAGCAGCAATTTACGTCGAAATTTTTTTGTAAGTGCTTTTAATCGTCAGCAGCCAAAAGCATTACTAGATACACGTAGCCGTAGGGACGAAGGAATATCAAAGTAGCAATAGCATGAGTTTTAAGTCAAATCTAAAAGTCTGGAAATATTCTTTATTTTTGTTTACTTTACACTTTGGTAGATCAGCTCTACAATTTCTTTGAAAAATAGGAAAACCAATGAAATTTGGAAGATTTTATTTTGTGTCTCATACAACTGACACTAGTTGTATGAGGCAACATTTTTGTCTCACAATTTTGTGGACCCAGATTTCTGTGGACCCAGAAGTATAAAATTAGGGTCCACAAAATTTGTGAGACAAAAAGGAGTCTCATACAACTAGTATCAGTTGTATGAGACACAAAATAAAACTTCTAATCAAATTTTGATGATTATCAAAACATTCGCTCATGATAATCCTTGATATCCACTTTCTTGGATTTGGTGTATTGAAGAAAACAAAATGAAAAAGTCCAAAGCAATTCAACTAATATGCTATCTGGCAAAAACAAAGTGTCCTCTTCTTCTCCTACCACGCTCTGGATCTTAGAAACTAAATACATTGTACTTTTGTTATGAATTCAAAAGTTAATAATTATTAATCTATCATAGTTATTTTTATTATTCATTTATATTCTGTGCTAAAATAACTGAATTTAGGTGAATACGATTGTATTTGCCTCGAATGAACTGGGGCGGATCAAAAGAGAGAATATCATAGGACCAATGACATTAACATTAGAGCACAGTTAATAGTCATTTGACAAAGGTTGTGGTAAAGTGGTAAATATTCCTTTATCATTAACTAGAGGTATCGGGTTCAAACCCTGAATATGGAATCGCCTTTGTTACAGAACACTGTACCCTCAAATGTGGGACTTCTGAGTACTAATCCGTATTTTATTGGGCCTCAATGTGAATACTGAACACCGGGTGAAAAATCAATAATCTATAATTTTACTTTCTTCACGTACACTTAATAGATCTGCTGCACAATAATAATGGAAGTAGAATAGCGATCGAAACTATTTTATAAAGTTTTGGTGATTATCAAATCATATGCTCATAATGCTTTTTGGGTCAGCTTTCTTGGATTTTGTGTGTTAAAGAAAACACAAGGAAACGTCCAAAGCAATTCAAATCATGTTACATTCAAAAACTGTGTGTTCTCTTCTTCTCTTATTCACCCACGTTCCAGATATTTGCACTAATGAGATTAGAACCCGTGACCTCTTAGAGCAAAATCAAGCACATAATCAATTTACCAAAGAGACAATACGACCTCTAACTAACTAGAACTTGCCGCACAATATTTACAACAAATCAAATTTTTTATTTTTCACTATAACACACCGATAAATTGAAGTAAGCCAATACAATAATTAATTATGATTAAGTTTTATATATATATATATACTGAGATGTAAGACATAATTAAAGATTGATACGTACAGATTTAGATGAATAGTAATGTTAAATTGAGTGCTCCTAGAATTTGCCTCAAAATACATTAAATTCAACAAGTAAAGATTAATTATCAAAACACATTAAACTCAACAAGTTAAAAAATATCTTGCTATACAAGTCCATAGAAAGAAAATAAGGACGAAAACACAAAAGTCAATGAAGAGAAAAGAAGTTCAAAATGCTAGCTAACAATAGTGACGATAACAACAAAGTTAGTACGTAGTAACAAACTTTCATCAGTGAAGAAGACAAGTAGCATTAATGGCTAATCAAAATAGGTGATGAAACAACAATAAATAATAAGCGCCGTTACAAACTCTGATATTCACCTATGTATATCCTTAATTTCAAGCCTCCTTTTGCTAATCTTCTTTGTTCGAAGAGGCGGATCCAAAGCGAGTTCAATTGAGCTTATTGTTTTCAAATCGAACTATCTATGCATAAGAAGAGACTAAATCTTTTGTGCGTAAAGTTGGACTTATTGTTTTCAACTCGAACTATCTATGCATATGAAGAAAAAGTTCAATATAAAATTTATACAAGGTTCAATATAAATCCTGGAACCGGAATGGAACTGTTGACTCGGGGGCGGAAGGGGCTGTTGAAGCTTGAGAGTACCGGGTTCATCTGAACCCAATAATTTCGATACAGAGTATCAATTTATGAGTAAGAAATCTACTAAAATGGCAAGAAATAGTAGATTTGAATCCATAACTTAAAAAATATAATGATCTTGAACCCATAAAATTTAAATCCCGGATCCGTCTCTGAACTTACCGGTTTGATGTTGGATTCGGCCCGCTAGGAACTGCATGCTCACTAGCTTCAAATTGTCTAGAGGTATCACTAGAAGAAGATGATGAAGAAGATGTACGAGGATTTATGGGGATTTTTCTTGAGTTCAAGTTAATTGTAGCTGTAGCTAAAGAGGAATGATATGAATTTTGAGAGGAAGGTTTAAAGGAATCATTATCATGATCAGAAGAAGACTGAACAAAAATGAGGAAGAGGAAGAAAAGGGTGAAGAAGAAAATGAAAGAGTAACAGTTAAATGTGGAGATTTCAGATTTTCTCAATGTTGCCATGCAATAATTAATTAATTGAAGACAGCAGACAGGAAAGAGAGAAAGAGAGAAAACAAAAGACAGAAAGAAGGGGGGAAGAAGCTTTAGGTTGTTGAAATTAAAGTGGATGAAAGCTAGAAAAAGGAGAGATTTTGAAATGGGATACACATTTGCTTAGAGAATTGAAGAACAAAAAAGAACCTATCCAACATGCAGGGATTATATATTGAAGGTGCAAGATTGGGTTGAAATTGACTTTGGTGTCCCTTCTTCTTAATAAGCATTTATATCAATTATTAACTAAAG